CGGAGGCGTGCGGGCGGAGCGAGCCAGAGCCGAGGGTCCAGGTGGCTCGCGTGACACCTGTTCTGCGCTTTCTTCAGTTCCCTTGTCCGTCCGTTCATTCATTCATTCAGGATCATTTTCACTGTCCGTCCGGGACTTCGACCAGAACCAGGGGGAGGTGGTGAAGCATTACAAGATCCGTAATCTGGACGACGGAGGCTTCTACATCTCCCCCCGCATCACTTTTCCCGGCCTACATGAACTGGTCCGCCATTATACCAGTGAGCCCGCGGGACCCGCACCTGTGCCCTAGCGTGATGCCTGTCCCCCTCCACCTCTCGGGGTACCCTCGGTCCACCTTTCAGCATAGTCCTTCGGTCCCTGGAGTGGGCGAGGATCGTACCCCACCGCAGCTCCAGATGCCGGCTGCCATTCCCCCACCTCCGTCAGCTCGTTGCCCCCAGCTGGGGGCGCGCGAGAGCTGGGTGGGTTCCCGGGGCCTCCGTATCCACAGCCTTCCCTCTCGGCCTTGTCCTTGCAGACGCTTCGGACGGGCTGTGCACGCGCCTGAGCCGCCCCTGCCAGACCCAGAAGCCCCAGAAGCCGTGGTGGGAGGATGAGTGGGAGGTTCCCAGGGAGACACTGAAGCTGGTGGAGCGGCTGGGGAGCGGCCAGTTCGGGGAGGTGTGGATGGGTGAGTGCGGTCCTCCTGGACTGCTGGGGAGGGCGGACAGGCCTGCGATGGCGATGGCGACCATGCCCTGCCGCCTGGCTTCAGGCACACGGGGTTCTGGCCACTTCCCCGACCCTCCTGCCCACCTCCCAGGGTACTACAACGGGCACACGAAGGTGGCAGTGAAGAGCCTGAAGCAGGGCAGCATGTCCCCCGACGCCTTCCTAGCCGAGGCCAACCTCATGAAGCAGCTGCAGCACCAGCGGCTGGTCCGGCTGTACGCCGTGGTCACCCAGGAGCCGATCTACATTATCACTGAGTACATGGAGAACGGTGGGTGCCACCCGGCCGCTGAGGGGATCCTGCCGAGGCTGGGGATGCGCCTTGTCCTCCACCCAGCCTCCGGCTTTCCGGAGGGCCAGACACTCAGGGCCAGGGATGAGGGGTGGCATCCAGCCTGTCTGGGGCCCAGCCTGAGGTGACGGGTTCTGGAAGGCCATCCACCCCATCTCCCCTGACTGCCTTGACCTGGGGCTCCCATCCTGCTTTCCTGCCTTCTGCCCCTGAACCCTGGGAAGATCTGCCCCAAAGCCCTCTTTTTTATTCTGAATGAGCCCTACCGCCTCGGTCTGCGATTGGTGGGGGCGAGAGCCCAGGAAGATCAGTTTCAAGGCCCAGCTTTGCTCCCACTGATCTGCGGTGTGACAGGCCAAGTCCCCATACCTTCTCTGGTGCTCAGCTTTGCAGCAGAAATTGAAACAGGCCCGCCCAGAAGTAACCCAGAGTGTTCATTAAAGGCTCTGGGTGGGAACCCCGCCTTTCCGATGGCGTAACTGTGGGTGCATCACGTCACTTTTCTGCCAGCCCTCTCATCGTGGTAAAACGCGGTAGTGAGTTCCCTACAGGATCCGCGAGGATGCGAGCTGACGCATATACTAACTGCTCGGTGAATTTGTTACCGGGCGCGGACTCGCGAGTGTAAGAGCTGTCCCTCCTTCAGGAAGGGACACAAGCTGCCAGTTGACTAATGGGCTCTGGAAGTGACGAACGGTTTCACCCGTGTGCCCACTTTGGTGAGTGCTTGAAGGGCTGGGTTGAGGAGTCAGCCTCACTGCAAGTGAGTACTAGGATAGATTAGCGGTGTCTGCCACAGACCCAGGGGGGGCATGGCTGCTCATGTCCACATATTTGCTGTGTCTGGGTGAGGCCTTTACCTTTGGTGAGGAATTCAGCACGTATGGTCATCCTCGGAGATTTCATTTTGGGGGAAAGGACAGTGCTCCCTAACTCCGATCCAGAACTGCCATCCGCGGTGTTCCCAGCTGCCTTCCACTGTCCCGGAGCAGGTACACTTTGATCGGCGCTTACGCGGGCTGTGTGCTGGGAGCATGGGCAGATAACACGGTTTCCGCTATCGGGAACGCTGGACTTCAGTTACAGGCTCTGAGAAAACCAGTTTGTGTCGTAGGAAAGTTCCAGCATGCATAGGAACGCAGAGGGTGATGCAGTTTATTATACTTGGGGGGACCTACAGAGATTTCCTAGGGGAGCAGTCATGACGTCGGGCTGTGAAAGCATGAAAGAAAAATAGATTTTTTTAAGAGGGGGGTGGGGTAGACCAGCAGATGGCATAATGGTTATGTCGCTGGACTCCCACATAGTCAAGCGCAGTTCAAGTTCTGAAGCCAGCAGCTTAAAACTCACACCGGGTGTGTTTTTAAAGCTTTCTGTCTCTGTCTCTTTCTCTCTCTATCTCTCCAGTGAGTGCACGTGCCCTATGGTGAAAATATCTCTCAAAATAAATAAAATAAAGACAGAGAGAGAGGAAGAAAGGCAGATATAGCTTTTTTAAAAAAGAGGTTTTTGCCTTAGGGTGCGCTCTCACCAGAGAGAGAGAGACAGAGACAGTAAAAGGGAAAGTGAGAAATCACTCCGAAGGGGATGGCTACACCACAAGCCCTTCTCTTCCATTCTCATCTTGGGATCCTGGCCATACATGCACATGTGCTAGGGCGTGTTTCAAGCCACCTCGTCCAGGACTCAAACCGCGGTCAGCCATGTGGGGTCCAGTGACATAACTGCTATGCCATCTGCTGGCCACAGTACAGCTAATTTTGACAGGGTCTCACCACGTGATGATCCCCTGCCCAGCCTGCCGGCCTTAAGAACCACAGGGCATGCCATCACACCCTACTTGTTTAGATTGGGCCAGGAACTGAACACGAGCCTTCCATGTGGCCTCAGGCACCCTGCAGCAGTGCCCTCCCACCTGACCCACTGTGGCTGGGCCTGGAAAATAGAATTTTTAGCAGGCAAAGATAAAGCAAAGAGAATTTGGAGTGAGAGTCTAATGGTTTGTGTGAACAATCTAAATGTTGCTCCCGGTAGGTAGAGTGGAAGAGGCAGGATGGGAGAAAAGGCAGGTCCACGTGGGGCCGCACAGGGCCTTGGTGACCAGTGAGCAGCCTGGCCTCCATGCTGTTGGTGATAGGAAGCCTACGGAGCCCTCCAGTCATGCCCAACCCTGGAAAAGCTCCCTGGAAAAGATCTTCACGTACCCCAACTACCCTCACCCTGAACACGCAAGCCGCCATTCTTACTCCTTCCCCTTCTTCCCACGTGTCAGACACTGCTTCTAGACCCCCAGTTGGGGACAAGGGTCTTGAGGCTCCCTCTGGGGCAACTTGAGTTAGCAACTCTCGCTTCTGCCCACAGGGAGCCTGGTGGATTTTCTCAAGACCCCCCCAGGCATCAAGCTGACCATCAACAAGCTCTTGGACATGGCGGCCCAGGTAAGGAGCTGGGGCGGGCAGGGCAGTGGGGTGGGCTGTACACACCAGGCTGCTGAGCGTGCCCTGGCTGCTGAGCGTGCCCCCGGCTGCTGAACAGTGTGCCCCAGCTACTGAGCATGCCATGGCTGCTAAGTGTGCCCCAGCTGCTGAGCGTGCCCCGGCTACTGAGCGTGCCACGGCTGCTGAGTGTGCCCCGGCTGCTGAGTGTGCCCCGGCTACTGAGTGTGCCACGGCTGCTGAGTGTGCCCCGGCTGCTGAGTGTGCCCTGGCTGCTGAACAGTGTGCCCTGGCTGCTGAACAGTGTGCCCTGGCTGCTGAGCATGCCCTGGCTATTGAGCGTGCCATGGCTGCTGAATGTGCCCTGGCTGCTGAGTATACCCCAGGCTGCTGAGTGTGCCCTGGCTGCTGAGTGTGCCCGGCCCGCAGATCGCAGAGGGCATGGCATTCATTGAAGAGCGGAATTACATCCACCGGGACCTGCGGGCTGCCAACATCCTGGTGTCGGACACCCTGAGCTGCAAGATTGCAGACTTCGGCCTGGCTCGTCTCATCGAGGACAACGAGTACACAGCCAGGGAGGGTAGGTGTGGGGTGGGAGGGGCTGAGGCCCGCAGGGCCAGGCCAGGCAGACCCACACAGCCAGGGAGGGTAGGGGTGGGGCGGGAGGGGCTGAGGCCCGTAGGGCCAGGCCAGGCAGACCCAGGTGACCCTCTGCTTCCCCCCAGGGGCCAAGTTCCCCATTAAGTGGACAGCACCAGAAGCCATCAACTATGGGACGTTCACCATCAAGTCAGACGTGTGGTCTTTTGGGATCCTGCTGACAGAGATCGTCACCCACGGCCGCATCCCTTACCCAGGTCAGGGCCACGGCAGGACCCAGGGTGATACACAAGGGCGGCAGACCCCTCCCAGGCCCGGACCTGAAACTTCCCAGCTCTCGCACTCTGTGCTCTGTGCTCCCCCGACACCCCGAGAGGCATCCTGGCACCCAGACTGGCTTCCACTTCTGCCTCTGATCTTGCTCTTGCTTCAGTGCCCAGCCCTCTGGGCCAGCCCGGTGACTGGATCATGTAGGGCAGACTGCGCGGTTCGAGTCCCCACCCCGCAGCTTGGAAGATACACCGGGTGTGTGTGCGCACCCAAGATCCCGAGAGGGGAGTGGAGGAGAATGGATTGTTGTGTTTCATTTGTTTGTTTGTTTTTTGGAGAGGTTTTTGCTACAGGGTGCATGCGCTCTCCAGAGAGACAGAGAGACAGAAAGCAAGAAATCACCCCCCAGGGGGGATGGTCACGCCGCAATCCCTTCTCCTCCATTCTCCTCTTGGGATCTTGGGCACGCACGCACACGCACCCAGCGTGAGTTTTAAGCCACTGGGTCCGGGACGCGAACCGTGGTCAACTACGTGGGAGTCCAGCGACATAACCATTACGCTAACTGCTGGTCCCAAAAAGAGAGTGTGGTGTTTTTAAATCATCCCCCCAGTGGGTGATTTTTCACTTTCCCTTTCTCTCTCTCTCTCCTCTCTCTGCCGAGTGCATGTGCACTATAGCAAAAACTTGAAAGAAAAGGAACAGTTCTCCAGTGCTCGCACAGGCAGCCCAGACTGGTGGGCCTGGGTCTGGCCTGGGAAGTGAGAGGCCCGTCTTTTGTTACCAGCTCTGGCGCTGAAGCTGACTTTCTGTTGGGCTTTGATTAGATCATGCCCTCTTTCCCCGTCCGTTAAATGGCGCAGACTAAGCTACTACCATTTATCAATCCCTCTCCGAGCCTCACTTTCCTGAAAAGAGACCATTTGTGGAAAGAGCCCGACTCACAGTAGGTGCTACCTAAACACTGACTTCCTTCCTTCTCGCTGAAGCTTTCCATTCAAGGAGGGAGAGAGGCATGTAAGCAGCAACTCGCTCCCCCACATCCTAGACAGAGCCCTTGGCCTGAATTCAGCCAAGACAGGGTGGAACTTTCTGGGAGGAGGGGCACCGCCACAGGAGCAGGGAGGCCTGGAGCATGGTCCTGGATTTGCAGAAGCCTTTCCTCACATCTGCAAAGCCGGGGAATGGAACCTTGCTCTGAGGAAGGTCAGGGTACCTTGGATTCGGATGGGAGGCTGAAGGACTCCCCTGCCCTGGGCTTGCCGACCCCCGAGTTCAGGTGCAGTGCTGGAGCTAGCGCCACCCTCAGTTGTCCTGCCCGGCACCCAAACTGTGGGCTGTGCCCAGAGGCCAGCCACAGAGAAGAGGTCAGTGGAAGCAGGATAATAAATGGCAGCAGTGCGTGGCCCCAGGCTGAGGCTGCGGAGGGCAGTGGGGACACGGGAGCAGCCTGCTTCAGCACGTGTTGCCAGCCAAGGGTGGGGTTCCGAGCCAGATGCTTTGTTTCTTTCAAGAGAAGAAAGAACTTGGAGTTTTAGAAAAGTTGACTCATTTCCAGATGTTGGTGATTGAAATTGTTTAAAAAGCTGAAGTGGTCCCATGTATTAGGCCTGGGTTAGCCCGTGGGTTTGTACCCTCGCCTCTGGCCATGGGTCTACACTGCCAGTGTCTGAGTCCTAAATGTGAGGGACCCTGGGTAGACCCTCCTGGGGCCAGGCTTGGGGAGGAGGGGCTCTGCTGACTGGATTCCAGCCCAGCTTTTGCAGGAGAAGCCTTTGCTGGCGCCCTGTGAGGGCTTCGTCTTCGGGGACTGCTAGTCTCAGTCTTCCCTTGGGAGACAGGAGAAGAAACCAGAAGCTGCATGAGAATTTAGAAATAGGAGCTTTCTGTCTGCGTGGTGTTTGTTTTTGCTATAGCACAGGGCATGTGCACTTGCCAAAGAGAGGCAGAGAGAGGGAAAGTGAGAAATCACTCCCAGGGGGTTGGCTACCCTGCAATCCCTTCTCTCCCACTCTCCTCTTGGGATTTGGGGCATGCACGCACACGGGCTCTGTGTGGTCGTCATGCCCGCAGGTCCGGGACTCAAACCACAGACCTGGCCGGGTGGGCTCCAGCCCCCTTAACTTCCATGCCACCTGGCTGGCCTACCAGTTAAATATTCTAAACGTCCCCCCTGCCTATGGGCTTCCACCGCCTAGAGCCTTGATGGGCCTCCTATCAACCTCCAGGGATGACCAACCCCGAGGTGATCCAGAACCTGGAACGAGGCTACCGCATGGTGCGCCCCGACAACTGTCCCGAGGAGCTGTACCATCTCATGATGCTGTGCTGGAAGGAGCGCCCCGAGGACCGGCCCACCTTTGACTACCTGCGCAGCGTGCTGGAGGACTTCTTCACAGCCACGGAGGGCCAGTACCAGCCCCAGCCGTGAGGCCAGCTCCGCGGCCTTCCCGTCGCACCATGCTGGCTTGAGGAGACGACGTCTCCTGCCATACCCACGCGGCCTGTGCACGTGCTGACTGCGCACATCCCACCCGTGTAACACGAAGCATCTGCGTGTGGTGCACGTCCCATAGCCGTGCGGGCTCTGCACCGTCATCTTGGTCCCATGCGGTCTGCGCATGTGCATCGCGCACATTGCCCAAGGCTCCTTTCTGGGCCCTCCCATTTCCTGAGCCCGGGAGAGAGCAGAGAGGTTTGAGTCCCCAGCTCTGCCGCCTGCCGCCGGGTTCCTGAGGCTGGGACTACCTGACACCTCTGCGTGCGCCTCTGCTGCGCCTGACACTGGGCGCTCAATAAATGCTGTGGGCGGACTTAATGCACCCGTGCTCTGCACTTCGTCTCTCCTGTGGGGGACAGTGGGTCCAGGAGACATACACGGGGCCACCCCGAGTTGGGGTGAAAGAGGAGAGGAGCGGATGTGGAACTTTTTCCTGCCCGTGAGGCTGGGTCCACGAGGAGGCCCTGAGGCTGCTGGCCGGACCCTGCACACCCCTCAGATGAGCGGAGCTCGCTCCCTCCCCAAAGGGCTCAGGATAACCCCGGGACTCCCTAGAAGTAGGCGTGTCACAGGACTTTCCTCCCCCTCCTATAAAGCAACGGCATTTCTTTTCCTCTTTCCTTCCTTCTTTATTTCTTCTTAAGAATTATTTTAGAGACCAGCAGATGGAATAATGGTTACATCGGTGGACTCCCATGTAGTTGACTACAGTTCGAGTCCTGGACTTGGAGACTTAAAACTCAGGCCAGGCGCGTGTGTGTGCGTCCCCAAAATCCAGAGAGGAGAATGGAGAAGGGATTATGGTGTGGCCATCCCATCTGAGGGGTGATTTTTCACTCTCTGTCTCTCCGGCGAGTGCACGTGCCCTATAGCGAAAATCTCTCTCTCTAATAAAAGAAAAGAGAGGACCAGCTGTTGGCGTAATGGCTATGTTGCTGGACTCCCATGTAGTCGCCATGGTTTGAGTCCCAGACCTGGTGGCTTAAACTCCCGCTGGGCACATGTGCTTGTGTGCCCAAGATCCCGAGAAGAGAATGGAGAAGGGATTGTGGCGTGGCCATGACCCCTGGGCAATAATTTCTCACTTTCTGTCTTTCTGGCAAGGGCACTTGCCCTGTAGCAAAAACCTCTAAAAAAAAATTATTTTATTGGGGCCAGTAGGTAGTGTGGTGGTTAAATAAATAAATAAAGTTACATAAAATAATTCTTCTTTTAAAATTTTATTGTTCTATTTTATTTATTTATTTATTTTGGAGAGGGTTTTGCTCTAGGGCACATGTGCTCCCCAAAAAGCCAGAGACAGACAGAAAGCAAGAAATCACCCCCCAGGGGAGATGGCCAGACCACAATCCCTTCTCCTCCATTCTCCTCTTGGGATCTTAGACACATACACACATGCTCCTGGCCTGAGTTTCAGCCTCCAGATCCAGGACTCGAACCTCGGTCTACTACATAGGAGTCCAGCGATGTAGCCACTCCGTCATCTTCTGGCCACTGTTGATCTCTTTTAATTTGACCAGAGAGGGCCAGAGAGAG